TTTCTCTGTAGTTAGTTGTTTATAGGCTCTTTTCTGATTTCGCTGTACATATCATACATTGAATGTTTTTCTATGATTTGTATTCGATACTTCTCGTAATCTTCTTTTATTAGATTATTTGTTGTTTTATAGATCATTGAAAGTTCCTTCTTTTCTTCCTTGCTTTTTGATGGTTTTGGAAATAAAGTCGTACGTGTCTCTTGATTAAGTATTTTGTTTGTTCCGAAAGTATTTCCTTTTTTGTTTTGTTTGAAGTTAGTGCTTCAATGCTTTCCCTTATAGATGTTTCTATTTTTAAGTAGTACGATTCTATATTGTCGCTTTTTGCCCATTGCATTTGCTCTGACTTTGATGTTAGGACATTAAGGTAAATTTTTTGGTTTTGTTTCATCGACGAGGTTTTTTGGTATCGTAGACTAGTTGGCTCTAATTTTCCTTCCTTTGTTTATTTTTACTGTCCCTCTTAAAAGTCTGTGGTCACTTGGGAGAGAGATGTTGCTTAGTACTTCCATATTTGTAAAAGTTTTGGGTCGTTACTAAGTATATAATCAATTTGATTTTTGGAATTTTTTGGCGAAATCCATGTCCACATATTTGCTGCTTTTTTCGTAAACGTTGTGTTAATTATGGTATATTTATATTATATATAGTATATTATATATAATATAAATATAACATATATATAGTATATTGTGGTATATATATAGGAAAGCCAAGAGAGCATCGTGGAGGAAGCTATGCGAGGAAGTTGAGTCTTTGCCTCGCAGTGCAAGACTACACAAGATGCTATCGAAAGCTAAACCTAATCAGATCGGGCTTCTTAAAAAGCCGGATGGTAACTTCACTAATAATGAAACAGAAACATTGGAGTTATTAGCGTCAACCCATTTCCCAGGGTCATACAAGACTTCAGCCTTGAACTCTTTCAGAGCCCTACGAAGGCCTTGCAATGAGGACTGGCGTAGGGCTGCAAAGATAATAAGGCCAAACCTGGTGCAGTGGGCTGTTGACTCCTTTGAACCATTTAAATCAAGCGGGGAGGATGGAATAATTCCCATCCAAATACAGAGGGGTATCGACATCCTTCTTCCTTATCTGGTGAAAATCTTCAGAGCAAGTTTTGCATGGGGATATATTCCAGAACGATGGACAATTGTCAAGGTTCTATTTATACCTAAGGCTGGTAGAAAGGACTACGCTTTACCAAAGTCCTTTAAACCTATAAGCCTATCTTCCTTTCTTCTTAAGACATTGGAAAAGGTTATAGATAGATATATAAGGGATGTAGCTCTAGCTACGAGGCCCATTCATTACAAACAGCATGCTTACCGTAGAGGCAAATCTACGGAAACAGCCCTGATCAGTGTCATTGACAGGGTCGAAAAAGCACTGGAGGATAAAGAAATAGCCCTTTGTGCCTTTCTAGATATTGAGGGCGCCTTCGATAGTAGCCCCACATCACTGCTGATTGGGGGCCTAACATCTAAAAATGTTGACCCCACAACCATCAGATGGGTGAAGTCGATGCTCTCAAACAGAAAGACAAAAATAGCGCTGTTTCAAGTTTTTTTGTTGCTTTTTGTCTTTTTCGTCTTTTTTTAGTCTACAAAGGACTGCCTGCCTAATGGCAACTGGAGCTATGCGATCATCGCCTGGGGCGGCTCTTAATGCACTTCTATGCCTAACGCCCCTTGATCTCTATCTAGACAAGGAGGCAAGGGATAGTTTGTATAGGATTAACGCCCAGGGCGGTCTGAGCTTGCTCTCCTACAGATTGAGATCCATGCTCGACTCAATTAAGGAATCACCGGTCTTATGCATGATCTCAGATATCATGCGTCCACTATACACTTTTGATAAAAAGTATATAGTGGAATTACCCTCCAGAGAAGACTGGCTGAATGGCCAGGTTATCTGTGAGGTCGGTAGCCTCATATGGTATACCGATGGGTCTAAAATGGGCCTCGACGTAGGCTTTGGAATTTACGGGGAACGCCCCAAATTCAAACTTAGTATGAATTTGGGTAGATACACCTTTATTTTCCAGGCAGAAATTTTCGCCATACTTCGGTGTGCGGAAATCAATCTGCAAAAACACTACGTCAACCAAAAAATTTACATAAACTCTGATAGTCAAGCAGCACTCCTAGCGCTGAGATCAAACTTAGTGAACTCAAAGCTAGTTGGAGACTGCGTGAACCGTTTAAACGCCCTGGGTTGTAAAAACAGGGTCGTTTTAAGATGGGTTCCGGGTCACGAGGGTATTGTAGGCAACGAATTTGCCGACAAACTTGCACGGGAGGGCTCAAAGTGCACACAATTTGGACCCGAGCCATTTTGTGGAATCTCAAGAAGCCTAGCCCGATTGACCCTTGAAACTCTTTATCACAATAAATCACTTAAGATCTGGTCTGATACACCAGGCTTAAAACATTCTAAAACCTTAATGCGTGCTTTTGATCGTAAATTCGCTTCAGAAGCCCTGGGATGAAGTAAAAATAAATTGCGCATTCTGGCAAGAGCCCTAACTGGACACTGTTGTCTTAAAAAGCACATGTCCATCCTGGGACTAAGCAACTCAAGGATGTGTCGGTTCTGTTCCGTAACGGAAGAAACCCCTCTACACATCCTAACCGTTTGCGGACCCTTAATGCGCAAACGTAACACTCACCTGGGACACTATCTACTCCGCCCAGAAGAAGTGAAATTGCTCACGGCTAAGCTACTCCTTCTATTCATTGAAGACATAGGGCTTAGCAGTGAACTATAGCCATAGCAGCGTTCACAATAGATCTTATAGGTCGCAGTGATACTGGTCTCTTTAACTAGACCTGCATAGCTGCTCGCACATAATTAAAAAAAAAATTATGGTATATTTATTTTGTAGAGCATATTGTATAAGTCTAACTCCTCTTTTGTTTCTTTTACAATACCAGTAGGGACCCATTACTGTGTTTTCTCCTGGTTTCCTGTGTCATATTTTCGCATTCATATCTCCCATTAAAATTACTTTTTCTTGTGTAAGGCTTCGGGCATACTCTATTTGATTGTAAAATGTATCCATTTCCTTCTCTTTTTCCTCACTTGTCGGTGCATAGACTTGGATAATTGAGATTTTCGTTGCTCCTAATTTTAAAATTAGTAAGCGTACTCTATCAGATATTCCTGTGTAACTTTCTATGTTATTTTTACATTCTTTTTTGATTAGGAATCCAACACCGTAATGTTCTTTAGTTTCTCCAGTATAGCAGAATAGGTGGCTTCTGATATCTAGTCCTATAAAGGCGTTATTTATTTTCTCTAGAAAATATTTTAATAAAACCATTCTTTGTGGTGAAAAAAGATGTATGAGCAGCTATATATATTTTTTGGTATTTTGCGGTGTTGGATACGAGGCCGTGATGGGTATTCTTTAGGTGTGCTTTTATTAGAGCAGTGTGCGGCGTAGTATGTGATGGTGGAGGCGTTTTCTCCTGTGGTATAATTATAGGTTTTTTTTTATAATAAAGTTGTTCGTTATATTAGTTTCGTTTATTTTAGTGCGTTGTTTTTATTTTGTAGACCTGTGTTGTAGCTCGAGTGAGATAGTTCTTCTGTATTTGGGTTTTGATGTCTAGGCACCACAATTTTATCATATTTAATGAAGGCATTTACTCCTTGTTTTCTCATTATTTCTATTTCATTTTGGAGTTCCCTTCTTTTAATTATGACTTCTAGGGGGTAGTCTTCCTTTATATAGTAAGTTGTTGATTCAAGCTTTTTCTTATTTTTCTGAATTTGTATCTTTAACCCCATAGTGAGCAAGGTAACTACAATAAGTCAAATTTTTTCGCTCTTTTTCCTTAATCTTCTGACGTATTCCTTGTCATTTTTCTGGCATTTGATTTTCTGTATGTTATTTATAATATCTCTCACCTTTTCTTCCAGGTCTTGATAGCCACTGTTATTATGAGGTTTAAATAACAAAAGCGAATTTCCAAATGATTTTCACTTTATATAGTTTATTTTTAGTCACTTATTTATTCACTTTTGAAACTTTTCACTGGTTTTAATGAGCGATATTTCACGTTTTAATAATTTTAAACAATATTTAACACAGAGCAGTTGTTTACTTTGGCACAATAGCGCTTTTTCTCCTGGGATGAAGAAAACTTCTTTTAAATCGCATAGTGGTAGACAGTGGTATGGATGGTATCGCGAGTTTTGTCACGATGTGTGATGGTGAAATTTTGCGGTTGGAATTAGTCCGAACTCCCCGTGGTAGATGCGATTAAATACACATAAAGTTTCATCTCTTCGAACATCTCTTCGAAGTGCCAGTGAGTCAAGCCGGTCGGAAAGAGCTCGGTCGCCGATGATTCGAACAGCTCTGTGTTGGATGCTATCAAATGGAAGGAGCTGGCACTGGGGAGCCCCAGCCCGAAGATGGGAACAGTATTCCATGTGAGGCCGAACCTGTGCCTTGTAAAGTTGCAGGCGGTGTGCCGGTATGAAATACTGTCCCGCTCTGCTGAGCACGTCAAGCTATTTAGAGTTCAACTTGGGATAGATGATATTCTTACACCGATACTATACGGTCTACACGGGAAAAGAACCAATAATTATCATATTCGCACTGTTATACGGAGACGGGCTGATAGGTTTTCAAAAAAAAATTTATTTAACACACTGAAATTTAATTAAATATAAAGGGATTAAATATTATAAACTGACTAGAAATTAACTTAGGTCCGTAAACAACCGAGCAGGTTCGAAGATGGAAGCAGACTGCAGTGGCCGAACTGCTCCACTGCTATACTCACTGAACCTTAAGGCCAAGTCAACATTATTAAGGGGCAGTGCAGCAATAAGGCTAACAAATACAGGGTATAACAGTACGGATTGTTATTAACCATTTTTTTCTTCTTATTACTAAATCCTTTACAAGCAATCTATGTTTAATAAAAATCATAAAGTTATGTTTTTTTTTTTGATAAGTTAAAGTCAAGTCAAAGATTTACCAGTAAATTCAACTGAAAGTGCCAATAACGCGTTGTTTGGTCTCGGCGGTGGTGGGTCGCCGATGCTGATCCGGGCCAAGTCGACTAAGTTTTCGGAAATCGGGCTCAGGGTCACATTAACTTGGTTGAGATCATTCTGTGAATAATTAAGTCTTATCCAGGTTTTTCGTGTTACAGGTCATCTCTTATCCATTCGATCTATTACAAGCTATAAAAATCAACTTCTGAACTTAATCCTCCCCCGTAGACTGCCTCATAACTCATAAGGGGAATCTTGTCACAGTTGCCATACCACATACACACGCATGCACGCACACACGCACACACGCACTAGAGCACGCACACACGTACGTACAAATACTATTATTGTTATTATTTAAATTTAAATTTTGTTATTATAAGATTATTAAGTTTGAAATTTTTAAGACATTTTCTACGAAATTCTGACAGACATTCTGGCACAGGTATATTTACTTAAAAGGATGGAAAGGATGATGTATACTCAAAAGGATGTCCCAGTAACGCATTAATGTATCTATTTAAGCAAACCATGTAATAATATACAACATGTAACAAAAACCCTGTGGTTCCCGTTAAGTGTGCTATCGGAATCAGTATCCAAGCTTATAGAAATATTTTTTTTTTCAAAGAAACGCATTCAAAAAAATTAATTTTACTGAAAAAAAAAACTAATTTGCAAATTGTATGTGGTTTTATTTCCTCTAACTCACACGAGTATTGGTAATGCGGGGTCTTTGACAATCCTCTTACTCCTCGGCCAATGCAGATATAATAAAACCACATACAATTTGAAAATAATTTTTTTTTTCATTAAAATACTTTTTTTAAATGTGTTTTATTTTTTGAAAAAAAAAAATTATTTCTATATGCTTGAATACTGATTCTGATAACGAATTTAACGGGAACCACAGGGTTTTTGTTACATGTTTTTATAATGTATGACGTTTTTTACCGTCTGGAAAAAAATAGCGTGTAACATGTGAACGAAGTAGAAGCCTATGGCAAAAATTTTTACAAAAAATAAAAGCAAACATTTTAAAATAAACGTTTGAAATTTTTTTTAACAATTGCTTTGCCCTTCGCCCTTGAGCCTGTGACCCTGCTAAGTGACAAGATCAAAAATGCCTACTAAATTTATTGTTTTATTGCCGTTCGTAAAGTAGGGTGGATATGATTCCACTTTCGATAGATTTTAATTTATTTATTTATTAAATTCAAAAAATTTATTAAGCTATTGTGGCTTAACGAAAAAAAACCTCACGCTCCCCACTCCGACGGGCACGGAGGTGTGGCGTTGAAAGCCGTGCATCGTCTAACGTCGTTTCAGTTCGGCAGACTTCGGCACTCGGCAGACTTCGGCACGGTGTTTGTGTGCGTGCGACTAGAGGTATGCGTGTACACTAGCTGCTAACTCAATGATAAAAATTCCTGAATAACCTACATGTATTGTAAGATATTAAAAATATTTTAAACAATATTATCTTCTCATTTATTCAATAAGAGAAAAAAAATTGTTTTCTTATCGGTCACCACGCTCAAAAAGTGTAACTTGATTTAATATCAAAGACTTAACTGCATAAATAAAATAAATAAATAATTATAATTGCATAAGTTGATAAAAAAATGCTATGCAATAGCTTTACCGCGGCAGTCACCGAGTGCCACACGTATTTTTTTTTTGTAAAATATCAGTGCTATAGGTTTCTGCTCCGTTCACATGTTACGCCCCTTTTTTCCAGCCGGTAAAAAACGTTATCGAGAATAGTAAATAAAATCTTCCCCGCTCTTTTGTTAATTTTACTCACGTTATACTTCTTTTTCGTTATACAGGCCAAAACGATTTTTTTGTATGTCTCTTTTTCTTTTTAAACACAATCGGTTTTGAAACTACTATAGGTGAGTGTAGAGAAGCGGAGACCCTTATTACTGGTAAAGAGGCATTCTATCTTTGTCCTCAGGGTCCAGGCGTGACAACGTATCTCCATTTTGATTCTAACTCGTGTATATGAAGGTGTACGTCCGTCCATCCGAGACAGCCAATAAAAGACCACTACTAAACATAGGCCTCCCTCATAGTTTGCCTCATGAGGTGGTCTTGCCATAGTTGGCAATCGCAGCTTTTATTATTTTGGGCCATTTTTCCTCTGTGGCCTCTTACGGCAACCTCGGGACGATATGGGGTAGTGATATATATACATATAGGTGTATGTGGGCCAAAGCATCTACTTACTATCAGGTTAACTGTGTGCTCCTTTGTCACCCTAGATGTCAACAGTATTGCTGCAGCATAGTGCTGAGTCGGTGGCCTTTGGATAATAGGGTGTTTATTAAAAATGGAGTGAACTAAGCACAACCATGGCCTAGATAATTTAACTAATTTATTGTTATATCTCGTTTTTATTTAGTCAGGTTCTATTGTGTCTGTCTGTCGGTGGAATCTTGTAACTCAAACTTCGAGACCTCTGATTAGCAAGATATTTGAATTATGAAATAGTTCAGATCGTGTGTAGTGTGCTGTTAATTGTTTTAGTACAAAATTAAAAAAAATTGTTCCATTATATCACTTTATCGATAAGATCTCTCAATAAATAAAACTAATTTGAATTAAACTCTTTACTTAGCAGCCGGTTTAAGGTCAAGATGCTGCAAATTCATTGATACTTGCTACGAGTAAAATACAGCCTGCACATGATTTACATTTCATCATTTTCAATTCATAATCATTCATCATTACTATTCACAAGTCTACTGCTGAACATAGGCCTCCCCCAAGGAATTCTACAAAGCACGGTCCTGAGCCACCTGTATCCATCGACTTCCTGCGTGTCTTACCAGGTCGCCACTCCATGTAGTTGGGGGTTGCCCCACACTTCGCCTACCGGTACGACGCTGCCACACAAGCACCTTTGTTCCCCATCGGTTGTCGGTTCTTCTAGCTATATGGCCAGCCCATTGCTACTTCAGCTTCCTAATTCGTTGAGCTACGTCGCTAGCTCTGGGTCTACTTCAGGTATCCTTATTTCTAAGTAATAACGTAAAGAAACCCCCGAGAATAGCCCTTTACATGGCTCACTGAGCGATCTCGAGCGTCCTCATACGGCCAGCAGTGAAGGACCACGTCTCTGATTGATGACATCTCGGTTTCATGTTTTAAGGTATACCTGACGAGAAGACGTGTCGTAATTCCCGAACGATGCCCAGCCGAGTTGGATCCGTCGATTGACCTCTCGGTCAAAGTTGGAAATGCCTAGACGGACTATTTGACTCATGTAAACATACTCGTCAACATCTTCGAGCTTATTGATCCTAACAACTACCGGCATAGGTGTAACATGGATGTTACACATGATCTTTGTTTAGTCCATGTTCATATTAAGACCTATCCGTTGGAAGACGCTATTCAAGTCATTAAGCATAGTGCTTAGGTCCTCCAGTGAGTCTGCCATAAGGACTATATCATCGGCAAATCATAGGTGAGTGATTTACTCGCCATTGATGTTAATACCGTATTCTTTTCAGTCCAGTAGCTTGAAAATATCGTCCAATGCAGTCGTGAAGATTTTCGGGGATATAACGTTACCCTGTATTAAACTACACTGCAGTCAGATAGGTTTCGTACTCTGGTTCTGTATACCGATAGCCATCGAAGCCCTTCTGTACAAACAATTCAGCACTTCGATATCCCGACAGTCAACATGGCACCGCTGAAGGGACTGTAGCACCGCCCAAATTTCGACGCAATCAAGGGCTTTCTCATAGAGCACATACGCAGCAAAGTGGCAGCTTGTACTCTTCGGTCATCTGTACAATTTGCCGAAGGGTATTAATATGGTCTATGGTATTAAATCCTTTTTTGGAAACCAGCTTCTTCGGGAGGCTGGAAGTCGTCGAGTCTGCGTGCGACGGTTCGTAACTACTCTCGAAAACAGCACGTAGATGCGGCGCAGAAGGGAAATCGGTCTATAGTTCTTCAAGAGGGCGTTGTCACCATTCTTGAAGAACAAGACCACCACACTTCTGCTCAAAGCCGTAGAAACTACGTAACGTAGAACTTCTTACCGTTTTGAAGGTGCTGGCGAGCGATTCTAATCTCGCTCAGTCGACGGACGTCCGGGTCCGACTTCTGACCATAGAACCTCTCAATCTGACTCAAAAGCTCAGGTGTACCGGAAACGATGCTGCCATACACTGCCTTTAGCTTCGACAGTTGGCTCATTCTGGCAGACAGATCTCTGGCAATGACTTTGGAACCCTGGTTCCGCTCGGTCGCTTCTTCAATACGAGTTGTATTGAAGTTACGTAAGTCCTGCCGCATGCATTTGGAGATCTGTCTGTTCCGTTTAACAGCTATGAAATTAAGAGTGTGATCGGAGAGTTTTTGTGTTCTTAGGCGGCGGGTCTTGCAGAACTTAGCACCGACCACACGGATAGTTTCCACAAGCTTATCATTCATATCGTCCACTGAATGGCAGTCTTCTAGGCACTGAGAACTGTTTTGTAACCCGAGCTTAAAGTTTTCGGGACTTTGGATTAGAGGACGAGGGGGACAGAGCGTTGAAGTTATTAGACGGGATCTCTACAACTTAACATTTAGGTTCAGTGTGCCTCTAACCATTCGGTGATCGCTGCCAGTTTTCACCCTCGCGATCACTGAGACATTACTGAACAGTTGCCGTCTAGTCATCACAATGAAGTCAATCTTATTTTTTGTCGTACCGTATGCCGACCAGGTCCATTTCCTGTGGAGTCGCTTTTGAAATAAAGAGTTCATCATAAAGAATCCCCCTTTCTCCATAAAGTCAGCCAGCTACCGGCCCCTTGGGTTTCGTTGCCCTATTCCGAATTTTCTTACCTTCATCTCACCGTTCTCCCTTGTCCCATTAACGCAGTATAGTGCGTTTTGGAGATATCCTCATACATTTCCTCCACCTTCTCATCGAAATGTGCGGTCGTTTGTGTATAAACCTGTGTGACTTTCAACTAATACCGTTTGGTGATCCTGAGTATAAGGTACGCCGCCCTCGTCAACACACTCACAAACTTTACAAAGTTGTTAACGAGAGACTTGTGGACGATAAATTCGACACTTCCTTGGGACAGATGGTCGCCCTCCCGGTGATAGAACAAGTTGCCGGATTCAAGAATTACCATGTCCTCCCTCTCTTCTGACCTCAGATAATCCTATAATATCCCAGCGCAACTTGTCTATCTCTTCTTGCAGCTCTAGGATCTTCACGTCAGTCCTCAGGATGCGTATGTTATACGTAAGTCAAGTTGAGTCGTCTTAGGTAGCAACCGAACCCCCACCGGAGATTCTTAGCACCCTCGGCTCCGTCGTTACTATGATCGCCACCGTAGCCAGGAATAGCGGGGCCGCCAGGGAACAGGGGGTCGTCTCTTCATAGCTCTCATCATGGGGGATATTTGCCATAGTTGCCACGTTTGGCGAGCGGGTTGGCAACCGCAGTTTTTATTATAGTCATTGCTGTTATCAGGAAGATGCTGCTGCCCATCTCCTCTCACGTCTCCCTCCTCTCGTCTCCTCTTATGACACCCACGGGAAGATATGGGGTAGTGGATATTCTTAACTGCCACTACACGGAGTATTCAATTGCTTTTGTATTATTATTTCAAAAATTAAAAAGCTTAATTTGAAAAGTGAAAAATATCCATGCCATAGGCTACTTCTACTTTCATTGATATATCGCATTCATTTTTTTTTCTTACGGCAAAAACGTAAAGCGGCATATTTCAAAGTAATTTTACTTTGAAATATGCCGCTTTACGTTTTTAGTTAATTAGTTAATTAACTAAAAACGTAAAGCTATAAAGTTAGTTTTTAAACTAACTTTCAAGAATTATTTATAATCTATATTGAATAAAAAAAATTCTATTCTATTTTATTCTCATGTCTTTTTTAACTTCTTTCTTTCATAAGTATGTACCAAAATAAATAAAAATTAGTGAACTTACCTCCAAAGTTATCCATGCGCTGCGAGTGTATGTTGTTGGATCGATGCCTACTACAGAGCCTGGTGCCATATTTGCCACCAGCCAGGCTTGGATAGAGAGGTCCGTACCTAAAATTGTAGATTAATATCCATACATTATTTATTACAGTCTACATACGCGTAAAAGTGGACTTAACTTAACATAAGGCCTCCTGCAAAGATTGTCTCAAGGGGGCTTTGCCATTGTTATCAAGCTTGGTAAGCGTATTAGCAACCGCAGTTTTTTTATTATTTTGAGTTTTTATCAGTAAGATGCCGCTGCCCATCTCCCGTTCAATTTTCCCTCAGTTTAAAAGGTTTATTAAAGAAATATTTATTTATTTATTTATGCTTTATTTGCACACCGAGTACAAAAAGGCGGACTTAATGCAACAAGGCATTCTCTACCAGTCTACCTCCAGGTTAAGCAGAGAAGATATTGTGGGTGTAAAGTGCAACTGAGTTAAAACATTTTTAAGTAGACATACACATTACATATTGCATTACATGTTATAAACATAATTATACATATATATAATTATATGGATATACATACAAGATATATAAATATATACATATATATGTTTAATGCTGCCCTAATATGCTATATATATATATATATATATATATATATATATATATATATAAGTACATACATAATTAAATATAGCTATTTCTGATTCAAACACCTATAAAATATTTGAAATAAAAACAGGAAAAGGGAACAGTTAGAATTTAAGAATATAAAAAATGTTAGTCGACAAACTACTCCTGCAACGCCAGAAAATGATTCCATAGCAAGCGTTTGAACGATGCCTTGCTCTTGGCTGCACGTACACTGCTCGCTAGCTCGTTCCACAATCTTACCGCGTGAGACGTAAAAGATTTATACAAGAAGCTAGTGTGACAGAGGGGGACATGGAGATTAGACTTTTCCGCAGAACGGAGACAACGATTATGAGAATCACCCTGATACTGAAATTTACATTATTCAGGGACAAACGGATCGTGTAAAACTGAAAATAATGTGCACTGTATTCTGAAATATCTGCGATAGCGGAGAGGTAGCCATTTAAGCTGGGAACGATAAGAGGAGATGTGGTCATATTTACGTAAACCGAAAATGAAGCGTATACAATTATTAAGAAGTCGATCCAGTTTGTTTAGAAGTTCTTGAGAGGCATCAGCATAGCAAACATCTGCATAATCTAAAATAGGCAACACTAGAGTCTGTATTACCATCACCTTAATATAATATTGCACAAAATGGGTTATTATAATATTAAAGAATACATGAATGAAAATAACCCCTGGAAATGAGGTGAACGTCACCAACCCTGGTCTGGCTGGTCGCCAGTGGGATTTTTAAAAATCCCACTGGCGACCAGCCCGGTGACGGTTTCTTCCAGGTTCGTCCCAAAACAGAGGTATTTTCAGAACCGATACATAAAAACATAACCGATACATAGAACGATAAATAAAAACATTGACTTTCAGTAAGTTTTATGTAATAATCAATATAAACTGCACTCATGTTTTTTTCATTAAATTAGGTTAACAAACGAGCACACGGTCCACCTGATGGTAAATGGCTGCTATGACCCACAGACATCTACATTTATCCTCGATTAAGAATCGAAATGCAAATGCGTTGTCACCCCTGAGGATTAAAATGGTATGCCTCGTTTCCAGTAAAATTGCCTCTGTCTCTCTACACTAACCATACAAAACACAGCTGCATTAAGCCGCTATTTTACGCTGGTATTCTGTGAGAGCGTGGTCCTACCACGGTAATTTTATCTATACAGTATTCCAACTTCATACAAACGGACGAAGCGAGAGCTATGCCTACGCGCCTCGATCTTGGCATGCGCTCGGCATGCAGACAGTCGTGACTGTGCCGCAGTGATGATTTTGTGGAATATATATAAAAAATGGAGGAAATAAATAATAGAATAAAAATAAAGAAATAATAAATGCGAACTTCATTTAAAACCAAACATATAAATTATAACCAAACTTATAATTTATATGTTTGGTTTTAAATGAAGTTCGCATTTATTATTTCTTTATTTCTATTCTATTATTTATTTCCTCCATTTTTTATATCTTTTACTTGGTTACAGATACCTCTTTATCCAAGTCATCATCATCATCATCACAGCCCTTCACAAGTCCACTGCTGAACATAGGCCTCCCCCAAGTAATGCCACAAAGCACGGTCCTGAGCCACCTGCATCCATCGACTTCCTGCATATCTTACCAGGTCGTCACTCCATCTAGTGGGGGGGTCGCCCTACACTACGCCTACCGGTACGAGGCTGCCACTCGAGAACCTTTCTTCCCCATCGGTTATCGGTTCTTCGAGCTATATGGCCGGCCCATTGCCACTTCAGCTTACTAATCCGTTGGGCTATGTCGGTCACTCTGGTTTTACTGCGGATATCCTCATTTCTGAGTCTATCACGCAGAGAAACTCCGAGCATAGCCCTCTCCATAGCTCGCTGAGCGACCTTGAGCGTCCTCATACGGCCAGCAGTGAAGGACCACGTCTCTGATCCGTAAGTCATCACTGGCAACACGCACTGGTTGTACACTTTAGTTTTCAGAGATTGAGGTATACCTGACGAGAAGATATGTCGTAATTTCCCGAACGCTGCCCAGCCGAGTTGAATCCGTCGATTGACCTCTCGGTCGAAGTTGGACTTACCTAGTCGGAATGTTTGTCCCAGGTAACGTGCTCCCAACAACTACCGGCATAGGTGTGACATGGACATTAAACATAATCTTTGTTTTGTCCATGTTCATCTTAAGACCTATCCGTTGGGAGGCACTATTGAGGTCATTGAGCATAGTGCTTAAGTCCTCCAGCGATTCTGCCATAAGGACTATATCGTCGGCAAATCGAAGGTGAGTGATGTACTCGCCATTGATTTATTTATTTTATCCAAGTAAAAGATATTATTTTTTCTCCACCTTGTCCATCTTTCCCAAAATAATTTTTAATTAAGCTTTATATTATAGTGAGGATTTTTTATACTTAAAAATTTAATAATAAAGTAATTCGTACGTCTCAGCCGAGGCGCAAATATTTTTCGGTCGCAAATTCATAAGACCGATTTGTTATTCAAACATAAACATGGTTTTTAATTAAATCTACCAATCAAAAAACGATACGCATTTTTATTGAACACTTCCTATTGAATTTTCAAAGTACCTATTATATTTGATTATATAAAAAAGTATATTTATATCATAAAACTAAATGGAAACACAAAGTAGGCAAATGTAATGCTGAAGGCAGGCAGCCCTATTGCATGTTTACGTACCGCGGTGCTGTAGGCATTTATTTCAAAGATACGACCGAGTTACAATACTGTATAGATAATATTAGCGTGGTCCTACCTTGTCTGACAAAATATGTATTTTTTTATTTTAATATCCTGAGCTATATACCGGTTTACTATAAAGCGGTTATTTCTCTTAAAAAAAAACTTAACCGCTCCATCGCGCAGTAGCCTAGCATTGAGTTGCAGCGCTATGGGCCGCGGGTTCGAATACGGAATAAGTAAATGTATGGCCTACAAAAAATTGTTCCGGGTCTGGATATTTGTCTTTGTGCAGTTTACGTTCGTAAGCTGCATCTGTAAAGGTGTTATTAAGAGAAAAGAAAGTGATTATTGAGGTAGAGATGATACAATAAGAAATTAATGTTTGTTCCATTGCACTCCCAGCGTTCCCACCTTGCCTCATCAAGCTCCATACGCTAGTGTCCACTTCCAAGTAGAACTGGGTAAAGTATCGCCCATCAGTCCACACGAGGGCGTGTGATGACGTCACCAGCGCTGTTCCAGACGACCCCGACAGACCGGAGAGCCACTCGCGACGCGCATCCGACGGTGCAATGTACTGGGACTGGAAAAACGTGCTTAAATTATCTTTCTTTTTGTAACAGTCATTTTTTTAAATTACTCTGTACTTGGTGTGCGTTGTAATCACAGAAATCTTAATAATAAGACAATAGAAGTGGTATAGCCGCGTGACCTTGTCACCGCTATGATGTGTTGACGAACATCATTTACCATTTTGTGATTTGGTTGCGTGGGGAACGTCGTACGTGAATTTATGTTATTATAATGTCGATCTGCAGCATAATCAGTAGTAAAAACTTATCAAGGACGAGTAATTCAACTAATAAAGGCATAACATTTCATTGGTAAGATGGTTATTTACTAATTATCATTGTTTTAACTGATTTACATCTAGATGAATACTTCACTATGATATTCACCTTTGTAAACTTTCATTTATTACTTTTCGTATCGTACACTTACCGTTGCTGCTTTTGTTCTACCGTAATATGCGAAGCACGCGACGTTAACAAACTCGCCAAGCAATGTAATGTAAAACATTAGATACCATTGTGCATTGCGTATGTGTATAATAGGGCTGTGTCGAGCGCTAATTCATTTCTATTGTCTTATTATTACTATTTCTATGGTTGTAAATTGTAATGCGTCTTTGTAGGGCCTGGTATTATTCTCTTCTTGCTCGTAAATTTTTACACAATCGGTCCAGCTATTCCGAAGAAGAGGATACCTTGAAATGAATCGTAGTTTAGGGGGCGTGGCTAATCCCTTTGTCGGTGAAGCTCACGGACGATTGAGGGAGTGTCAAAATGAAAGTGATGCAATGACTTCATAAAACGCAAATTATGAGATAGCAATACCGAACTCGCGCTCGGAAATAAACTAAATAAGCGAAAACAAAATTTTATTTATGTTATGTTTATGAGAACTTGGATATGATTATTTACTATGCCTTAAAAATAATTCGTAAAAATATTGTGGTGTCATGGAAAAATGTAACTAATTAGAGCCTACATTGCAATTTTTTTCTATCGAGAAAATTATATGTTGTCGTGATTAAAAAAACCAAATACCAAAGATTTGGTCCGCAATCTACAAAATTAATAGAAAAATCACCAAATTTTCGAAGTATCTCTTTAACCCAGACAGATAGACGGACAAAACGTTCGAAAATGGTTGTTAATGTGTCATGCAAATAGCCCCCTGACCTAGAAGCCAATTATTTTGATATTACAGACACAGGCGCTTCAGCTTTATTTATATACTAGCGCTTCATCCCGGCTTCACACGGCTGATTTCTGGAACTCGACAACAGCGCCATCTACCGGGCCCAATTTAAACTTAAACCATCCCTGGATCAAACTCAAATACACACAAAATCAAAATCCAATTGATTAAAATCGTTCGAGCCCTTTTCTTGTTTTAGCAAGAGTAACAGACTGTAAATGATTTATATATACAGGTTGACCTTTTTTACCGTCCTGGAAAAAACAAGGTGTAACATGTGAATGGAGTAGAAGCCTAATAGCACTGATATTTTACAAAAAATAAAAACAATTTTTTTTAATAAAACGTTTGAATTTTTTTTTAAATTACTTTGCCCTTTGCCTGTGACCCTAGTCAAGGTAAAGATGCCTACTAAATTTATTGTTTATTGCCGTTGTAAGTTGATGTGTTCGTTTATTTCAAAATTTTTGTTTTTATTTTTTGGAAAATATTACTGCCAGAGGCTTTTACTCCGTTCACATGTTACACCCTATTTTTTTTGAGACGCTAACAAATATCATCCAATATAAGAAGATTTATAAATATTTTATGTTACGTTATGCGCGTCCGCTGTAGGTACTATGTAGGCATCTACTCCTCGTTCCTGCAGCACTCTCCTGACAGCATCCAGTCGCTGCTGGGCAGTTTGACGACTCATCTTACTTCTGGATTCAGAGGCTGTAACATTATTTATATTTAAACTACATAGAACACTGGACTTCCTTTGAAGTAAACACTTTATAATGTAAGTACCCGGATGACCGAGCTTAGCTCGGTTTTTTTTTTTGAAATTACATTTATAAATTACATACTGATGAAACATAAATAATATTTTTGATCTTATTGACAGAATAGAAAAAACTGAACTGGTTATTTGAATAAAAAATCATGTGTGCAATTAGTTTAATTTCAATTTTCGTATTTTTTAAAAAATACTAAAAAAATGCTTGAAATAATAGATTTTCTCACAAAAGAAGGCAACTTGAAAAAAAAAGGAAAAAAAGTCACACCAAAGGCAGGACGCGAACCACGAAACTCCGATATCACGCCCTACCGACATCCCATCTGAGCTATTACGATCGTTAGCGATTTGACAAAATTTACCTTCTTATATTGTAGCAGTTTTTTGAAAACGCGGACAAAAGGACATTTTCTAAAAATAAATCCTAGCTAGATCGATTTATTGCCCCCCGAAACTCCCTGGACACTAAATTTTATGAAAATCGTTGGAGCCGTTTCCGAGATTCCGATTTTTTTTTTTTTTTTTTTTCATTGCTCGTTTAAAAGTATGGGATTTATTTCAAACGTGTATTGACAAAATACCGATGTAAGTATATCCACTATCCCATATGATCCCGTGGGTGTCGTAAGAGGCATCAGTGGACCACATTGGATAAAACTAATTTTATGGATGAAATCGCAATTAATTTTATGTTTTTTATTCCCCGCGTTGAGGTAATGAGATATACTGAGGTGTTTGACGCCCTAATGTCATTGTTAACGTAGATTACCTTCACATAAAGACCGTAATGAATAAAGGAGTTAATGAACCGGAGCCGTGGTAGCACGCTGCAGCTATATAACGGTTACAGCAGGAATGGGTCGGCTGGTTCGGAGTGAACGTGAAGAGACGAACCAGGGAAATTAGCAGCTAAGCGTTTCAACTATGACAAATATCCTTCCTATGGAGCAGTCTATGGAGTAGGCCTATATATATATTTATATGAGGCTGTAACAGTAAGGGAAATATACATCAAATACACATGCTTATTTAAAAACTTACGAAAAATCGGGGTATTTGGTTCCGCCCAGTCATATTGGTCGCTGGCCACATACGCAGAAATAAGATGAAGTGGTAAACTGTAAAAAAAAGAAATCAATATTATATGGTATATTAGTACATTACGATACAAGGGAGTTAAGGCTTTAAGAAGCCTGAATGACCTTGACGAAACGGTGTTCACAGAGATTTTAGCCGACGTCAACTCCGTCTAGCGAAAAGTACTCTGTGATCTAGCGGTTACGCCACAGGATAAATAATAGTACTACGTGTTACGCTCTGTACTACTTAGACAAGTGCAAAGATTAATTGACGGCAGATATAACAAGTATTTAAGTAATATACTGCCTATTATACTTGCGCATCACTGAGAGTCATGTCGTATGCGCGGTGTTCAGCGTCTTTAATTCCATTGCACGGTGTGCTGCTGTGGCTTTATCCGGTAGGCATCACAAGCTTTCAAGTGTTAAGTTTTAAGTACCTAAGTGCTGTGTCGTATAAGGACCGTGGTAGCTCTTCGGCTAAGCGCTCCAAGGAACCCAGGTTCGATCCCCGCCAGCACCAATGAAATTGTTAATTGCAATTTTAAGTGCTGATTCACCACGTGCTCGGGAAGGAAAACATCGTTGAAAGCCACGAAAACGTAAAACATCTACCTAGATAAAATGTTCTAGTGATTCTCAGTCATTCATTTTATATAGTGTTTAGAATGTTTCAGATAGGGCAAAATAAAAGATAAAACGAAATATTACGGAAATTATTTATTAATATATACATTTATAGGTAATTATAATAAAAACAACGAACAAGCTGCAAGGTTTTCTTGTAAACACAATTGTAAAATTGTTGTTCTCTTTTTTATTAATGATGAATTGTGAGACGTGGTCAAGATAACTTTATATAAAATATCTTTAATTAACGTTGGCACATGGCCTTCTACCTACAACTCGGTCGAAGTTTAAAAAGAAAGATTTTGTCTGTTCTTAATTCTCTAGTGTACACCATTTTTAATTTTTTTTCTTTTTTTCAAAAGTTTGATTAATTGTCAGCTGTATTTAGTCAATCAGATCCTAAACTTTTTTGACATTCAGTTTTTCTACATGCTGACGCAAACTTAATAGTTTATTATTTGTTATATTTTTTCTGTAACGTATTGGGTATCTTATATAGGCTGTAATTTTTGTAATTTTATCACAAAAGTTTCGTAGTAATTACGATTTTGTGTACAGTGATTCTCTCATCTTGGTATTGGCGTGAACTTTGAGATCAATCCATCTTGTTTTTCGCTAATTAAAGGAATAAAAAAAAACCAAGAGGTCGGTATTTTAAAATTTCTTGCAGCTTTTTATAAAAAAGCATGACCTTAAATAGCATAAACTAGCTTTAGTGGGTAGTAAAAAGCCCTAAGCTTAAAGCCTGTTTAGCTTTTATTTAATATTGATTTCATCATTCTGTACCTCGCCATTTTCCGGCTGTGTTGCTTCCTGCCTCTCCAAAAACTCTGTCTCAATGTCATATTTGTTACTAAAAGTTAATATTATCTAAACTTGTAACACAGGTAATTAGCAGATCTTTCAATGTCAAGCCCAGTGAACATTGGACTATTTATTTAGACTTTTCATAATTTTTAGGAGGAATTAGTTTATTTTATGACGTTTTCGTACGTCACTGTGACGCATTTTCCAAATTGTAATATAACATAAATATTTATTTATTTATTTAAAAACTTACATGTAACACCTTAAGCTAAAGGGTACATAGGGCGGACTTAATGCCATGTGGCATTCTCTGCCAGTCAACCCTGGGTGCCAGGAACAATTGTTGGCAGGTTTTGCGATTCCATTATACATAAATGAGTGAACATACATACACATATATTATATATATATACATATATATATATAGAGGCATTCATCTCAGTCGTCAGGGCTGACAACGCATCCGCATTTCGATACTTAATTGAAAATAAATGTAGATATCTATGGGCCACAACATCCACTTACCATCAGGTGCCAAGGCCTATATTTCGCATATCTTATCATGTTGTCCTCCATTTTATGGGTACTCTGGTTTTACTACTGATATCCCCATTTTTAAGTCAATCACGCGAAGAAACCCCAAGCACAGCTCGCTCCATAGCTCACTTAGCGATCTTCAGATTCTCCGTACGGGCAGCAGTTACATTTGGCTTATCTTATATTTTTATTTGTTTTCAGGTGATGTTTTGTCTAACATTTAAGGAAAACATAAACACAAGAATGTCTTTGTATAGCACTTAGGAAATCATAACTTTTATTTTATTTAAATTGTTTGATTTGATTTTATAATAGTGTAACATATACTTCATGTCCCGAAACTAACCGTCAAGCGGATATGGGGCGATAAGCTAGGTTGTACCATTCCTAGCAAAAAACAATCCCATGTTACTTGGTTAAGTAATAATAGGTATACTTTTAAAAATGTTGAAAATCAACATCCTAGATCACATATTTAGGTATTGTGATCAAATTTTTTTTTAAATTTTCAGTGTTTTTTTTTAAATGTAATCTTAAATAACTATGGTGTTGATTGAAGTCAAAAATCTAGTTATTAATATTGTGAGTTTAGTACAAATAAAGTTTAATTAAGTCGTGGTTAAAAATGTAACTTTGACGGCTTGTATTTTAAACAAAAAGTTGTTTTAAAAATGGCCCATTTAATTAAGATTTGCACCCTACATTACGAACGGCAATAAAACAGTAAATTTAGTAAGCATCTTTGACCTTGTCACTTCGCAGGGTCATAGGCTCAAGGGCAAATGGCAAAGTATATTGTTAAAAAACTTTTTTCAAACATTTTATTTAAAATTTTTGTTTTTATTTTTTGCAAAATATTTTTTTCCAGGCGATAAAAACTTTCAACCAGTATATAGCCATTCCGTCTACAATTTGTTAAAATATCACTTCATGTAACATTTTTACGAGTTTTATTATTTAATTTCGAAATTAGATCTGGACATACGACACCCATTGGATGATATAAAAATAAAAGTTATGTAAAGTTTCAGCATACATATGTTCCCACAGCTGGGCGCAGACCTCCTCGTTATTTTTATGAGGGTTTTAGGGCAAGGTAAATCACATTCACATAGAATGAGTGTAGAGAACCGGAGAGTCATTTTACAGAAACGAGGTATTCCATCTGCGTTTTGATTCTTAAACGAGAATAAAAATGTAGATAATATGTCTATGGATCACAGCTTCCACTAAACATTAGGTTAACTTTGTGCTCGTTTGTCACCCTAATTGTATGTATAAAAAAACTCTTCAACTTCTTGACACGCACTCACGCCTTTCTTCTTTCTATCTGTCTAGATGATTGCGTCTGCAAACATATGAAAGGAAACCGTGTTGTTTTGCAAATGATTTTAGATGCATATGAATGTGTGTTCTTGCTCATTACAATAAGTTTAGTATGGTTTTGGTTTCGGCGCCAATTAAATAGTTTAAGATGTTACATTTTTAAGTTATGCAACGATCAATTCCAATGTAGAATTATCATTTAATTTGTTACATACGTAAATTACGTAAAAATTATTAACTCACCATAAACAGATAAAGAACACACTAACAATCCGCTGGGCCGCCATTTTACAACTGTTAAACTAGCTCATGATATTGATTTCGTTTATCTGTTATCTTTAGATTACAGAATATTGTTAACTTTTCCGACTAGTTGGATACCGCAGCGACGGTTATATTGTTTAATGTTACAGCATGTATGCCTCCCACTGCTGGGCACAGGCCTCCTCTTATCTCTGAGATGGTTTTAGGGCAAGTAAATGTCAGCCGTGCTGCCCCAATGTGCTTCACATGTCTTCGAAATATTTTTTTCTTATTTCTAGACATGCAGGTTGTGATGTTTTCCTTCACCGCCGAGCACGTGACAGATCAGCACTTATAATTGCAATCAACAGTTTCATTGGTGCTGGTGGTGATCGAATCCAGATTGCTCGCATACTGTGAAATTTACAGCGAGCGCTCAGCCCCTAAGCTACCATTGCTTTGAATTTATATCTTGTAACATCCTACTTTTTGATTCAAGTATCGGTGACAAACGAGCACACAATCCACCTTATGGTAAGTGGATGCTGTGACACATAAACATATACATCTTTCCTCGATTAAGAAACAAAATGCAGATGCGTTGCCAACACTGAGGACTAAGATGAAATATCTCGTTTCCAGTAAAAGGGGTCTTCGGTGCTCTTCACTCGCGCCATACGAAACACTACAGCATTAAGCTGCTATTTGACGCTGGTATTCTGTGAGAGCGTGGTCCTTGCCTGAACGAGCCGAACCATTCATGCTGTTTCACGCACACATTTGCGCGTGTACAAACGTCATTTGCCTATTGCAGTAGTATTATATTTTTATGTTGTATAATAATTTTTGGGGTGGAGTGTCCGGGGTGTACCGTAACATACGTACAAACAGTGAAGACACAATTTAATTGAAAGGATGTTCTTAATTAACCTGTGTTTTGAAGTCAGCTAAAAAAGCAATAGCCTTTCTGTTGACAATTAAGTAAATCAATCAGCAATTCGTGCCTACTTTCGTGCGATGCGACTGTTGATGACAGATTTTTATTGTTCTGAGGATTTAGTGAACACGTTGTTTAATGGTTGTACGTCATACGTTGTGGCTTTTCGTTTAAAAATATTTCTTATTATTTAAGGGTAATTTTTATAAATAAACTATCCAAAAACATGGCTTTGTGGGAGTTCGCGAAGCTGGTAATAGAATATATATTATGTAAAAATATGTCAATTTATAAATCTTTAGGTACATTTGTGTAATGTAGCGAAATTGTTTTATTTATAATTTATAACTATTTTATTTATGTCTTACTTTAATGTTATTCGGGAATGATTTTTTGTTTTTTTTTTTCGTTTAAAAGAAGCGTGATTGCTCAATAACTATGTTCTTGCCGTAACTTTGGCCACATGACTGGCCCACTAACACTTTTGATCCATTAGTTTATGTTCTGGAAGATATGAATAAACACACAAAAATGTATTTAATTTTATATAATTGCATTGTAAATACATCTATAATTCATTTATTGTACGAATCGAGATAATGATAATTTAATTGACATAAATCACAGATAAATATGTCACAGCTTATCTGCATGATAAAATTAAAAATTTTGTATTTTTTTTTAATTAGAATAAGGATGACAAACGAGCACACAGTCCACCTGATGGTAAGTGGATGCTGTGGCCCATAGACTCCTTCGAAGATTAAGAATAAAATTGCAGATGTGTTAGTAGTTAGTTAGTACCAGTTCTGGCTCACAGAGTCAGAAATGGTACAAGTACAACGTTCGTCGACTCACGATCCTAAAAAAAAGGTTTTGGCATGCTCTGGTCACGAATCTGCGGTCCATTTTTGTGTAGGACTGAATCAAAATATTGACCGACGTCATTCGTATCGATATATAAAGCTACCCAATGTGACCCTGGTTTATCATCTGTATCCAAATTGCATATTATATACGTTGGTACGTGGGTGTACATGGGCAGTCTTGTGAGATCGACGAGTGAGATAAGCTTGTTGACGCATAAAGTTACTATCAATTCCACTGCAGAAATTCTTTAGATTAGAATTATTACTTACTGGTACTATATAAGACCAAGCAACTGCAGTCATGGAGTTAGTGTATGGTCGTTTGACCGCAGTGGATCTATCAATACTACGTTTGTGTTACTTCAACGCATCAAAGGCCATGGATGTAAGTGTTTATTCTATTGACAAACTTACTTTTCTTTCTGTTATTTTCTTACGTGTGTATGATTTAGTGTTAACAAATTATATTTAAATACCTATTGTGTGTGTGTATATGATTAAGCCGTGGTAGCTCAGCTGGTTAGAACAAGCTGTAAATTTCACAGTACGCGACCCGGGTTCGATCCCCGCCGGAACCAATTAAATTTTTAATTGCAATTTTAAGTGTTTATTCTATTGACAAACCTACTTTTCTTTCTGTTATTTTCTTACACGTGTGTGATTTAGTGTTAACAAATTATATTTAAATATTGTGTGTGTACCGCACAATACTAATTACAATACTAGAGTAGTTAAAAAATACTTTTATAACAATGACAGTCATTAGTTGATCATTAGTGAATGTGATTCTGTTTACTTAAATTACAGGAAGACAAGAGCAGAAGGAAGAAATGGGATGATGGGAAGTAATGAAGCATTGTTATGTGAAGTTTGTTGGAACAAACATATTTTTAGTCACGTGTAAATACTTTTAACATTTTGGTTCAAAATGACACAAAATCTAATAAATATTAGATACACCATCGACATGGACGGATTTTACATTACATATCCTCATAAACATTTTCAATGTAGAGAAAGAGGAGAGGAGGAAGAAGATTCCAGACGTAAAACTATCTAATAAAAATGATGCGTTTATCGATCATTATTTGTTTCGGCCAAGTTATCCTTTAATCATAATAATCTTAATCATAATCATAATTTATTTGCAGAAAACATGGTACATTACAGGTTGGTAAATTATTTAAGTCCAGCATGTTTTGTCATAATGTTGACATACAAATATTTATCTAATACATTAACTACATTTTCACAACTAATAAATTAATAACATGTTTTCAAAATCATCGTAATAATTTTATTACATTTAATTTAATTAAAATAATATGATAGTAGTTACTTAATTCATTTTAATATCGATTCCTAATCCTAATCATTAAATTTAAATATTCTTCAACAGAGTAGAAGCATTGCTCCTCAAGCCATTGTTTGACAATCCTGCGAAAACGTACCTTTGGGAGTGATTTATAAATCAAATAAGTATATTTGTTAGCGACGCGTCTATAAGAATATTTCAATTAATTAGTTAACCGATTACGAACAGCTTCTAAAAACAAATTATCGAGCAATAATATTCTAATAAGAACACTTAGTTGAATCTTAAAGAAATATCGAATTACTAATTTGAAGGTCTTGGGTTCGATTCCCAGGCCGGGCTAGTTTGTCGTTTTCTTAGTAATATTTTCTTAATAAATTCATATGGGGAATTTTTTAAGATATAAATTATGTTTCCGAGTTCAGTTCCCCGGTTGAAATACCCTTTCCAAAATATTGTTAATTTAAAGGAATATTAAAATAAAGTTAGAGACCAGGATTTGTTCCCCGGTCGAAATGATCACTTTGTGTATAAATAGAATTAATGGAAATTAATTGCATAAGTATTATCTTATATAAGTTTGATACGTTTTGTATGAAAATAAAATGTTTATTTTCAATATTTGATTCATAAAATATTTTGTTTATGTTATTTGATAATGTTCGCGACGGCCTAACAACGTTAAGAAACAAAGTTATAAAGAATATTGTTTTTGTATTAATAATGAAATTACTGACAAAACGGTGAAAACGTGTATTAATATAGTTGTTTAGCATATTTATAACTCTTAGTATATTTGTATAGAATGTCGTTTTGATAACAAGTAATGTAAACAACTTTTATTATATTAAGAAAAATCGACCAATCACAGCGCGTCTTATCGTAGAACTCTCTAGAAGTTTTTTAATTAACTGCGTAATAGTTCATACTAAAAATAATGAAAATAATTTTATGTTCTAAAAGAGTTGTAAATATGATATTGAATTAGCATAAGGCTTATAGATTACAGAAGTGTAGGAATATTTTGTATAATTAAACGCATTTGATAGTTATATAAAAATTAAAGAATTAATGTACCCAAATATTATGAAAATTTGGGACATTTCGTTTAATAACTTTTTACAATGTTAATGTTTTGAGGAACCTTTATGATATACTAATAAAGTACCAGACTAGCGATTTAATGATGTATAGCATGTTAGTGTAGCAATTAGTTTTGTATAGAAAATATTGCAATTTATGCCATTTGTATAGTGAAAAGTTTATGCAATAAAGAGGCAAAACGGAAAATGGCAAGCGGCTCACTGTAAAGTATTGCTAAAGTCTACCTTAGGGGCTCGCGACCCAGTAGGAGTAGTAGTGTGAAGAACTACCAGTGACAAGTGAAGTGAAGTGAGTGGTATCCGGTGGTAGCTGAAGTGACTAGTAGCAGTATATAGTGAATGGTGAAAGTGTTAGCTAGCCGAAAAAGGTCGTAACTGATATTCGCAGTTACATATAGTGATAGTGTTAGCTAGCCTAAAAAGGTCGTAACTGATATTCGCAGTTACATATAGTGATAGTGTTAGCTAGCCTAAATAGGTCGTAACTGATATTCGCAGTTACATGTAGTGAAAGTGTTAGCTAGCCTAAAAGGGTCGTAACTGATACTCGCAGTTACATATAGTGATAGTGTTAGCTAGCCTAAAAAGGTCGTAACTGATATTCGCAGTTACATATAGTGAAAGTGTTAGTTAGCCTAAAAAGGTCGTAACTGATATTCGCAGTTACATATAGTGATAGTGTTAGCTAGCCTAAAACGGTCGTAACTGATATTCGCAGTTACATATAGTGAAAGTGTTAGCTAGCCTAAAAAGGTCGTAACTGATATTCGCAGTTACATATAGTGATAGTGTTAGCTAGCCTAAAAAGGTCGTAACTGAT